GCAAAAGGGCTTTTTTGGCTTTTACACCAAAGGAGCAGAATATGATGACATGGGTTACAAGTGACTTACCCTAAGTCTTGTCATTTTGGTTGCATCCATGATTTCACGGAGCCTAAATTCTCTTGACTTGCACTGACCCAGAATCTAATTTTATACACAAGTCCATGAATTCTTAACTGTCCCTTCTTTTGAAACTATTTGATGTCTGCGTGGGTTTCCATACATGTTTTATTTTCTCCTTTTATCTTTTCAATATTTTCCCCTATTTTTAAGCTAATTAAAAAAAAAAACTTGAAAACCTCCAGTAAAAGCTATAAACATCAACAATAATATTTTGTAGTTGGCCACCTGACATCAAACAGATGAGAAATAATATATGAAAGACAATATCTTATAGCATTTTTCATTTACTGATCACTTAAAAAAATATTCTTGTGACAGGTACAAAGAATGTATTTGCTGTGCCTTGTATATAGGTTGCATTGCTAATCACTGTGAAAAAATAATAAGGAAAGGAGTGAGAATTTAACTCTTATTGTGTGGTATGGTGTGGCAGAGCTCCATAGACCCATGTGCAGAGAGGCTTTCAGAAAAGGCAGCATAGCATTTTTCACTTGTACAATAGTTTGCTGTGTAGCAAAAAGGCAGCGCAGCTGGGCATAGTAACATTCGGTTCACAGTCCTTGCACACACCTTCTGAGCAAACAAATCCAGCTAAATCAAACTTCCATCGGCTATCCTTATTTTTTACTCGATCCTTCAACTTCCTGTTTATTCAGTTTATTCAACTTCCTGTTGAATAAAAAGGATCTTCAACATTTCACTCTCTAGGCAATAATGAGAAGCACCACATACCAGGAATATTCATGGGAATAAAATCAGAATTGCACTAAAACATCTGCATGGTACTCTAATTACATTACTACCCAAATGAAAACTGAAAAGTTAAAAGGTAAAGCTCGTATATGCAGAATAAATCCCATGAGAATACTGTGAAAATACTACATAGTATCATATGCTCATTTCTTACATAAATTTAACCAGAACAGAAGTGATATTTAAGTATTACAGGCACTCAGGATTTTTATTACATTACTCAAAACCCACAGATTAGTTCTGGCAAAAAAAATCATGAACTTTCAAGTGGAAAGAATCAAGTTTTGAATGACCTTAATTTTCTTTATGGTTTTGGATTGAAATTTGGTGATTTTAGCACAGAGCCAGGCAAAATGTAACAGCTGGTTTTCTGGGCTTGACAGTGAAATGGGAGCATAATGGAAGAAAATGAAAATCCAGAGAGAAATAACTGGTGTGACTCCTTTGCAGCCTAAGAGAACTTAGTCGGGGACCTCTCTGTAGTTGCTCTGCATGGTGCTACAAAAACTGAGGTATGGACACACTGATGCAGGGGGAACGCCAGCCATGCCTCTGGTCTCCTCTTCTATATTGCACAGAAATCCAACACAGGGTCCAACAAGCCTTCCCCTCTCAAAACCACTTCATGGTGGCTCTGCTTGGGCATGCTGGCTTTCTGTCACCACAGCCTCGCGTTGCTGCGAGCCTCGAAGGCAGCATCAATGCAGTGAGAAGAAGGCAGGATTGAAGGACCTCATACGACGTCCATCCATCAAGCCATCCTACTGTCGTCTGTTTAGAGACAAAATCACCTCTGTCTTGTTAGACGACAGTAGTGCCATTTCTCCCATCGTATATATAGCTGGTTTTATTTTGATTTATAAAAGTATGAACTTCTCAAAAAATGATAGAATATCCATCTTCCTCAGCAGCTCACAGAAAGCAAACAAGACAAATATGGGGAAATGAGATTAAAAAAAAAATCCTCTCACATTTTAATTTATATGGCACTTTCAACTGTTTTTTCACAGTCAGTGTATTTAAGCGTGCCAAAGAGAAATACAATATTGGGTGGTATGGGAAAAAATAAGGTAATAAAAGACAGTTGGTTCTTCTGATATCAACACACGAAGCCTCCAGCAGAAACTACAGCCAGAAATACAGTATTTATCTTGATAGCAAAATGATACGAAGGGCCAGCAATGACCTGCAGAGATGCCCTAATTTCCCCTTACCCTGCATTTTGAGTGTCATTTGCATTCAATAGCTTTATCCTGGATTTCTGCCCTGATACAATTTTAATCTCTATGAACATTCAACATGATATTTTAAAATATAACTTAATCTAGGAAATTACTTTTTAGAACATTGTGGGCAATACTGAAGCTCCGACTAAAATCAAAGTCTAGCACATCCAATCACTTCAATAGGCAATGCTTCCACCCAGCCTCTTCCTGAGCTCACCAGGATGGAGCTCAGGGAAGCAGGACCAGGAGCTAACCCGGTACTGCTGGAGCCACATTTCCAAGGAAAGATTTGGTAAACGTGCTGCTGCAGTTTGAAGTGGGGGGCAAATTTGTTAGGAGATGAATCCTCTTGCGTTCTATCCAACCCTCACAAGTCAGAAGGTGGCTGGGCTCATCTCTTAATAGGGATACCAAGTACTGTGGTATCAGGCCTGATGCTGGCAACACCGCATTCACGAACAATCTGGTGGCTATAGGTCCCACTGCCTTCAAAACAATCAGTCGAGTTCATGAATAGCATGATTTATTCAAAGGCAACATTTAGAAAGTAGGTTTTGGATGTCAGTAAATTCTCTACTACGGCACAGGATTCTTAGCTAGCTCTAATGCACAAATGGGAATAGTGACTCACCCCAGAAGATGGGAGAGTGTTCTCAATCTCACGGAGCCTCCTCAGGCAGCGTCCCGACCCACGGGGAGAAGAGAAGTTTAGCCTGTTGACTGATCCAGAAGTTACGGTGGAGTCTTCCCCCGCTTCTCCCCTTCTTAGTTTACCTTTTATATTTTTTTTAGGTGGAGCTTGAGTGGCTCTAGTCATACTTACTTTTGTTACTGATTGGTGCAAAATTCTCTCGCTTTTCATTTAAAGGCATAGTCAACCACCTCGGAGG